GACAACAGCCAGTGCTTAGTAGCATGCATTTCACACAATTTCCATGATAATGCTATAATTTAAAACCCTCTGACTCAAAGACCTAATAAAGGAGGTGAAACTCACTTTCTAAATTTGTTGCACAGAATGCTCCTCTCTCCCTCCATCAATCTTCCTTCCCTTGAGCAAAATGTAAAATTTAGAACAGCGAGTGAAAGCACCAGGTTTTGATGGATTTCCTTGTTAACATGATTCTGTTCTTTGGCAACAGCATCGGAAGCATTTGTGTTCCAGTTCTAGCATGTATGTGCAAGTTCCTATGTGAAAAAATCTGCCAGTCACTTTCTACCTGCTGAGATGTGGGGGGCTATGCACGGGGGAAATTATCAAATGATGTTTATTGTGCTCCCAGACCTTTGCTGAAATCACTTGGTTTCAATTACTTTGATTAATGACTAAAGATTTTATAAGTAGAGGTTCACAGCTAAAACATCTGCCTTCCCGTATTGGCGTAAAGCAGGAAGAATATTTACGTAGGGCTTTCAGGGCATCAGGAGGCCAGTGATGGGTCTGGGCCCGTGAGATGGGGCCCTCCTAACCCTCCTAACGTCTAGCTGAATGATTTGGCCCCCTGGAAAGTGACAGTGTGGACCTCCCCATGAACAGCATGACATTTGCCCAGGGCCTGGAGAAGGGGCGATGGGGAAAGCAGAGATGACTTGAGCCTCCTCTCTCTCAGTCTTGATCAGGCAGTGCCACTTTGCAGGCTGGCCCCTCACTCTGGGGGCTCCAGGGTTGTGCCCGGTTCTCACATCTGCGTTCAGGAAGCACTGTTGGAGTTGAGTTGCTCAGCACAAAAGACTGAATAAGGCACCAGGTGACCAGGCCCAGAGAAAGGCAAACCTGATTTCTGCTGGCTGAGCCACATAAAGAGACCTAGTTCAAAGGTGGTAAGCATTCTGGTCATCTCTTGCTGCATAACAAATGACCCCCAAGTTTAGGAGGGTGCAGGTTGGGATCCCTGGGAAGCAGACTCTGAGATGGAGAAGAGTGTGCAGGATGTTTCTTAAGAACTGCCCTTAGGATCAAGACTTGGAAAGGAGGGGAAGGAGCAGGAGTGGGCAGAAGTCACGCTGCCTTGCAGCTCAGGGACAGCCCCAGCTGGCCCAACAGAGTTCTGGGGCCAGAATGACCCTTGAGAGTTGCCCCAGCTGGCCCAACAGAGTTCTGGAGCCAGAATGACCCCTGAGAGTTGCCCCAGCTAGGGCTGAGATGACCTGGCCTTGTGTTAGGGGTGGGCGAGCCGTAGCTGTGGGCCAAATCCAGGTGGCCGCCTGTTTTTGTAAATCAAGTTTTACTAGAACACAGCCACACCCCTTCATTTACACATTGCCTAAGGCTTCTTTCACACTGCTTGGGCAGAGGTGATTAGTTGTAATGGAAGCCATGTGACCCACAAAGCCTAAAATATTTAGTATCTAGCCATTAGTAGAAGTTTATCCACCCCTGCTTTATGTTCCCACGCTGATCAGCCATTGGCTGTGGGCTTCCTGGGAAAGGATGTGACCTGGGCGAGCAGCTCTGCAGCAGAGGCCGGCCCTAGAGGGCTGAGGGCTGAGGGCTGAGGGCTGAGGGCTGTGGGCTGTGCCGACTCCATCCCCAGCAGCGGGGACGGCAGGTCCTTCCTCCAGGGGGAACATGGGGGATGCTTATGGTGTCCACCACAGCAGCTTAAAATGACCATTTTATTTTGCTCACAGTTTTGTGGGTCAGGAATTCTGGAAGGGCGCAGGTGGACTGGCGGACCTCTGTGGCCTAAGCTGGACTAGAGGGTCCACTTCCAGGCTTCCTTCCTTGCTCAGTGCTCCTCGGCCTCTCTCTCTATGGGGGTCTCATCCTCCAGGGTTCCTCCAGGCTGCACGGTGGTTTTGGGATCACTGCACTTCTTACATGAGGGCTTCAAAAGGCAGGATGTGGAAGGCCCAAGTCCATGAAGAACCACACCAGAGCTGGCACAGTGTCCATTCTGCTGTGCCTAATGGGTCAAAGTGGTCGCAGGGCCCCCCAGGTTCAAGGGGGTGAAGCCACAGATGCAAGATCACAGCACAGATGAGCACGCAGCATGATGTACTGTTATACTATCTTTGAAAAATACATGGTGCCTCAGTGGGCCAGGTAGCTGGCTCCCCCAGCTCACGTCCTTTCTCAACTCCACAGTCACTGTCATCACGTGGGTGGCTTGAAGTGACCATGGTGGGAATATGACCCCTCGGGAATGAGCTTTGCCCTGCCCAACCCCAGAGAGCCCATTGTTAACCATGGACCAGCACACCACTGCTGCTCTGGGAAGACTCTTGGTTTGAAGCCAGATGGGAAGAAAGCAGCGTTTCTTGAGCCCCGAGGGGCTTTACACGTCCTGGAACCTCAGAACAGCTCTACGGGGTGCGATTGTCCTTATTCTACAGAAGAGGAGTCGCAGGTGTGGTGAGGTTGGGCAACCAGGTGGGATTTGAACTGGGGTCTTCTCACGCTCTGCCGTTCTGCCTCACCGAGCCTGGAGCCCTCAGGAGAATGAAATAGGCTGCTCTTCACTGACTGAAGGAAGCTCAGGGTAGATGTGAAGGAGGGAAAGCCAGCCGAAGAAGAGGAGCAAAGGCCTGGGGCAGTGGCCGGGTTCCTCTGAAGGACTCGGGCCTCCACACCCCGCCGAGCTGTTTGGGTGCTATAAGATTCACCCCAACTGCAGGCAGCCAAACCCCAGGCATTTCTCAGTGTCGGGAAACGTACCGATGTATTTAAAAGCACAAGCAGTCTATGTGAGCGAGGGGGAGTGGGGAAGCCCCTGAAGGGGGGTGCAGAGGAGGAAGGGCTGGGGCCAGGCACCACAGGCACGGGAGCCCCCTCATCCTGTGCAGTGGTTAGGCCAGACCAGTGGATGTGAGGGGGAGAGGGGAGAGGTAGGGCGGGAAGGGGCTCTCATGCTATGGCCTGCCGGGGGAGGGGGCACGGCATTCTACAGGAACAGTGGTTCCTGCCTTTATGATGGCACCAGTTCCACTGACAGGACCTGAGCCCCACGCCAGCCCTGCCAGGTGCTTCACGTATAGTTATTTTCTTTAATCCTCAAAACCCTCAAAGGAATCGGTCTTATTATTCCTATTTGATGAGAAAATGAGGCTCAGAGGGAAGGAATAACCTTCCAGCTCTGAATTAAGATTTGAGCCAGATGCGCCAACTCTGGACCGTCCGCATGCTGTGCGCCTGCGATGCTGCAGTCACCTAAGTGATGCAGCCAACGCCAGAGAGCAAAGAAGCAAACAGATGATAGAGTATCTTTCTCAGTGTTGGTCGGTTCACAATTTCTCATTTTTTCCTCCTTTTTTTCCCCTACAGTTGAAGGATTCCCTTTCCCCATGTTGTTGGTTTTAAGAGGAATAAGAGAACAGAACAGTGAGAAGCAGAGGGTTCATGGAGTTGAGTGGGGAGCCAGTGCGGGGCGCGTGGCCGAGGGCGCGTGGAGAGGAGAGGGCAGCGAGGCTGGGAGAGTGCAGGCAGGAAGGCCACTACCGGCGAGTGTTGGCGCCAGCCACAGGCCTCTGCCACTGGGGGGGGCTCCTGGCCTGGCTGGCTCAGGCCCTGTGGCACGTGGCAGATCTGCCCGCCTTCTGCTGGGGTCCCAGGCGTGGAATCACCTCGCCCTCCAGATCGACATCCCGAAGTTAAAGGTCAGAGAGCAGCCTTGCAGCAGGAGCATGTGATTAAGACTGAAAAATGGCCCTCAGGTTTTGGTGTGCTGCAAATCACCTGGGGTGCTTGTTCAAAATGCTGTTTCCTGGACCCCGCTCTTGGAGACTCTCAGGCAGCAGTTTGGAAGTGAGGCCCAGAATCTGTATTTTTAAAACACACCAAGCAGTTCTGATGCCAGTGGACACTGCGTCAGGCGAAGAAAAACACGGACTTGGAGGGCGAAGGGGTGGGATCTGCAACTTCCTTAAGAAAACGGCTTTTTTGTCTTTCACCTCATGAGCAGCAGTTTTCTCGTTCTGGATGTAGATGTGGTAGGTATGTTTATGGAGCTATCTTGCGGAGAGAAAGATAATGAACACAGCAGTTATGTGCATAATTGCAGTTAATTATTGTGTTGTGAATGTATGGTTAATCTTGATAAAGATTAACTTATAAAAACTCTTATTAAAAGTTCCCTGTTATTTGCCACTAATGACAACCGTGAATTTTTTAGGGGAGTTTGTTCATTTATCCACTTGATAAAGGAGTTTTGAGCTCTTGCTGTGTGGCTGGCACTGTGCAAGGAGGTGGGGGGACAGCTGTGGGCCAACAGCCGGGGGCTCACCTCTGCCCTCCAGGGCCTTACAGTCTGGCCAGGGAGACAGGTTCAATAAATCCCAGACAACCATATGCATTTCAGTTTTGTGTAAGTTTATTCTTATTAGTTAAGGTATTTGTTAAATTCATTACTAAATGTGATTTTTATAAATATATACATATTTACATATAAACAAATATAAAGCAAAAAAGAAAAAAATCTTTGTCAGGCTCTCTAGTGTGATTTTGGGTTTAAAATATGATTAACATACAGATTATGAACTTTCCAGGTACTCTCTGATGGGGCTAGGAAGATATATTCTATAAATTCTGTACAAAGTTGGCTTGTAGGTTTTTTTTTTAATCAATGAGTTAAGTCTTCACCTCTAAATATGTTTAATTAAGATGTTTTAAAGATCCATTGATTTTTTTTTCCCCCCATCACGTCTCTGCTCCCTCCCCTCATTTGTGAACATAGCACGTTAGGAAAATGGTACCCAAGCACAAATGCACAAATGCACCTGAATGCTGAATTCTCATCCAGTGATGAGAAGCAGAATTCTGACTCCTGGATTAGCAGTCTCAGCGTGTCCTCATGCTGATTTCTCGCCCAACATTTGAGTGCGCTGATAGTCTATGCGAGAACAGATCCAATGCGAAGCCGATGGCCATCAATCCCCTCTGCTTCCTGCTTGCAGCGTCGCAGGCGGTGAGCTGTTTGACTTCTTGGCCGAAAAGGAATCTTTGACTGAAGAGGAAGCAACCGAATTTCTCAAACAAATTCTGAATGGTGTTTACTACCTGCACTCCCTCCAGATTGCCCACTTTGATCTGAAGGTACGTGCTGAGTGTCAGCCGAAGAGCTTATGCCAATGCAGCACTGGCTGGCGGTTTGCTAAGAAAAACTGAGGCATCTGAAAGAGACTTTTATTTTCTTCTATGGGTTTAACAAACAGAATTATCAATATAAATCAGCAAGTATATAACGCATCCTGCAGGGGTTCCTAACCTTTTTGTGAGATGGAGGCTTAAGATTAATGATTACATTCTAGAATCCTTGGGGGAGAATCAAGGGGCCTGCGCAGCCAGGCCTTTTAAACAAGGGGGCTGCTATTGGTTATGGGGCATGTTCAGGCTGGAGTGGCCACTGGCTGCCCGATTTCCATCCCCCTCTGGTTACAGGGCACATAAGATGGAAGGTGTCTTGATCTCTACTCACCCTCTTGATGCAAAGGCTTGTGAGCCTGACTCTGTCACCAGCAGTCAATTGCCAAACTCTGAGACTGGCTAAGTGGGGTCTTTGCTGGGCTAGAAGCAAGGCATTATGGGAGATAAAAAGGCATGTCATACTCCCAACTGTCACAAGTTATGGTCTCTTTGGGAAGGGAAGACACTCACATGAGCAACAGGAAGTGAGCGTGTAAGATTCAAGGTACACCCAAGGCAGTGAGGAGGTTGTCACAAAGCAGCATGTGATGGATTGCCAGGTGGAGGATTCAGATCCTGGAGCTGGGATAAGACTGCAGAGGAGGGAGGAATTTCTCCATACTAGTGTAGCAGAGCTGTCAAGATCTCACTAACTCAGATCCCGCTCAGATCTCACTAACACTCACCCCAAAGACTGCTGCTGCAAACACCCAAGGCACTCTGCCTGATGTCTGGTTTCTGGCCCTGGGAGCTGGAAATGCCAGAGTAAATGCGCACAGAAGCTGTTCTTAGCAGTGGGGATGGGGAGATGGTGAATAAATACCCCAAGTCCCTCGTGCTCCGGCTGGAAACTCTGAGTCACCCCCACCTTGATAAGACACCTCGTATCAGTTTCCTCAATTCCATTTCCTGTCTCCCCATTTCTCTACCAAGTATTCCCTGGGATGCCTCCCACATAAGCCACTTGTGCCCAAATCCCTGTCTCAGGTCTGCTTCTGGGAGAACCTAAACCGAGACATTTATTTTTCCTGGTGTTCTCTTTCAACTACCCTGTTATCCCTATTTTTTGGTTGTTTTTGGGGAGGAGAGGAAGAACTATTCTGCCACCTTGTCCTTACCATAACATATGATAGCTTTTTAAGATTATTATTGTGGTAGAATAAAAATAAAAGTTAGCATTTTAAACATTTTTAAGTATGCAGTTCAGTGGCATTAAGTACATTCACATTATTGTGCAACCATCACCACCATCCATTTCTAAAACTTATTGATCTTCCCATACTGAAACTCTGTACCCATCAGACACTAACTCCCCATCCCTCCCCACCTCAGTCCCTGGCTACCACCATTCTACTTTCTGTGTCTATGAATTGGCCTATTCTAGGTACTTCATATAAGTGGAATCATACAATATTTGTCCTTTTTGTCTGGCTGATTTCAGTTAGCATCATATCTTCAAGGTTCATCCATGTTGTAGCATGTGTCAGAATTTACTTCCTTTCTAAAGCTGAGTAATGTCTCACTATGTGTATAGACCACATTTTGTTTATCCATTCATCTGTTGATGGACATTGGGTTGTTGCCATTTTTGGAAAGCAGATTATTTTGAATAATGCTGCTGTGAACATTGCTGTACTATTTCTCTTTTCTCTTTTTCTAAAGCCCGAAAACATAATGCTTTTGGATAGAAATGTCCCCAAACCTCGGATCAAGATCATCGACTTTGGGTTGGCCCATAAAATTGACTTTGGAAATGAATTCAAAAACATATTTGGGACACCAGAGTTTGTTGGTAAGTTTCTTTACTTCTGTGGTCATTTATTTCTCATAAACTTGATGCTGGCGAAATTCCCCTGCTGTGGCATCATTTCCCTGGTTTATACAAGAAGATAGAATCTGTTGGTTTGCTTCCTTCCAAAACTAAATGTGTGTTTATTTCCTCTTAGCTCCTGAGATAGTCAACTATGAACCTCTTGGTCTCGAGGCAGATATGTGGTAAGGAGCATGCTCTCAATGTAGTCATCTTTCTGATTTATTATTTTATTTTACTATTCTTCTGACCTTTGTTTTTGGTTTTGTTTTTGTTTTATGTCTAGGAGTATTGGGGTAATAACCTATATTCTGTAAGTACCAAGATCCACGACTCATATTCTTTCCCTCTGTCTGTGAGACCGTATGTTTTATTAACCATTCTATGTATCATGTTGATCTCTTCAGCTTATGCAGGCATTTTATGTAAACATACTCATTTTCCACCCCCAGAACACGTTTAGTTTATACTAATTAAACATTTTCTCCTAATTTGAAATGAGTCATCAGAAACTGCTGCATAGTCACTGACAGAAAGCATGTCTGTCCATCACTGCTGAGAAAAGAGGAGAGGGTTCTTTTTTTTAACTACTAGACGCTGTTCCAAATACACTTTTTAAATGCTTCCTTTGCATTAAGCTGAAGCTTTCGTTCGTGACAATTAAATGCCTTATAAAATGGAATTGAATTCTGAAGTGACTACCCAAGCACCAGATTATCATCTTATCCTCACCCCCCTTATCAGATGTTATAGGAACGAAATGATAACATAAGTGGTAATTATTTGTGTTCTGTGCCCCACTTTATTAACAGCCTAAGTGGGGCCTCCCCATTTCTTGGAGACAGTAAGCAAGAAACGTTAGCAAATGTATCTGCCGTCAACTACGAATTTGAGGAAGAATACTTCAGTAATACCAGTGCCCTAGCCAAAGATTTCATAAGAAGACTCCTCGTCAAAGATCCAAAGTGAGTGTGCATTATTCCCGAAAGGTGCTCAGCCGTGGCCTCAGCCAGCCGACGGTTAGCACTGTCCTGTGCACGTGGCCGTGTTTATGATACCCTGGTGGTTTCTGCCTGGCAGAGGGAAGCATGCCGTGCGAAACACTTCAGAAAACGCAGGCAAGGCCATCTGGACCTGCTCAGTCAGTCCCTGCAGGCACAGGGAAGTAGTCACACCGTGACTACCCTGTCTTCAGCTTTCCTCCGTGAATCACGCCCCAAACTGCATTTCCCAGAGCATCTGCTCGCTAGGCCCTGCTGGCAGGGAAACACCCTTAGTGTTTGCTTCTATGGTCACAGCTTTTTTTTTTCTTTCCCCTCCCCCCACAAAGGAAGAGAATGACAATTCAAGATAGTTTGCAGCATCCCTGGATCAAGGTAAGTAGGCATATTGTGATGGGTTTGGGTATTGTCCTAGGGTATTACTAGTTACCGTGGGTTCTAACCACAAACCATCTGGAGGATTGTGTTTGCTGTTGGTGCCATATCTTAAGAGAACTGGCAGATCGGCGTATCCTAACGATAATAGAGGTGGAGTGGAGTAAGCTATCACGATGCATGGGATTTAACAGGGAGCTGAAGGTTAAGTCCAGTCAACAGCCTATTTTGGTTTGACCTGTGGGATGTTGGCCCAAACAATATTTTTAAAAATTTTTGAATTAATTTGCAGCATTTAAATATCATATCAAATCTGGATTTCCAGCTTCTCTTGAGAAATCTGAAGATCTGCCAAGGCCGAGCCCTCATTCCACAAGGTCACCAGAAACTCAGCACAGCTGCCTTTGTGCCCGGGCCTGCGGCCATCCCTGGCATGTTACACCTTGACATTACCTGCCTGATGCCTGTTGGCATTTGGATTCAAGAATTGAAGTTGCTTCAGCTAGAGCAGAAAGGACTAAGGGTGGGGAATATGGCGGTTACAGAATAAAATCAGGGAACCAATAAGCAGATTGCAATGTAGTAACTTGCTTTGCAGAGCTAGGTTTGGGGCAACTGGAGAACTGTTTCCTGTGCGAGCTCCCAGCAGTTGCCTGGGCTCCCCTAGAAGGCAGTGGTGTCTCCATCTCACGGCAGTAGAGCTCAATGGCCTCCTGAAAAAGATGCAGTAGAAGGGATTCCAATGCCATAGGGTAGGCTGAATTTGCTGACCTCTGAGGTCCCTACTTGATGACAGTAAGTTCAAATGCCTCATTACATGGGTGGCCTCACCATGCATCTTGCCATTCCCAAACTTGCTCATGGAAAGTTGTAATCCAGCTTGGTCCAAGCTCAACTTTTCAACTTTTCCCCAAGATCCAGTCTTTGTGGACTGTATCCCACCCTTAGCCACAAGCTAGCCTCTGGAGACTAGGTTCCTAGATCTTGCATATTATTCCAACTTGTTTTGTTATTTTAGCAAGGCGAATGCGTAAACATCCCAAATGATGAGAGATTTCAAAAAGTTGTCGTGTAACACATTTCCATAATTTGAGAGCTCTAAATTTTTTCTTGGACTTTCATTTTAGCCTAAAGATACCCAACAAGCACTTAGTAGAAAAGCATCGGCAGTAAACATGGAGAAATTCAAGAAGTTCGCAGCCCGGAAAAAATGGAAAGTAAGATTGTTTGCTATGGAGGGAGTAACTAATTGTGTTTCCTGTTTGGCGCTCCCTATGGTCAGGGCTCATCTCTTCTGATACCGGCAATACAAAAGTGCATCCTTTTTTTTTTTTAAATTTCCTCTGTAGTCTTCTGCACTGTTACCTTATTTTCAAAGATAAGCAAAAATAATATTTCAGTTCTATTTAACTCGTATCTTCATATGTAATGTTGAATTTTTTTAAATCAAAACCATCCCCAAGGCAAATTTTTAAATCAGCACAGTAAAATTATAGTGCAGTCTTTTTCTAAATGCAACAAGCCACATTTTAAATAAATTTGTTCTTTGTGGTAAGCAGCATGGCATTATGTTTATGGCAGACCGTGTGTAAATGGTTCTCTAAGTCCAGCCTTGGTCTGTGAGTGGTGGGGATGGGGTGGGGTAGGGCCATGAGCATTTGCAGTGTGGTATCTTGTACTTTTTCAGTGTGGATGGCCTCTGCAGGGGCTGTGGGGGACATGGCTCTAAAAGGCATTCCAGCCATCCTTGAACAAATCAAAAAGTCAGGGTTAAGAAGGTGACAGGATGGCTTCCTGTGCACAGGGTCATGTCAAGCCCCAAGGAAGCAGCGACTTGCCATGTCTCCCCAGCAGTGGGCCAGAAATGCGCCTCATTTTCACACACATCAAGTTTGAGGTACCATGATAGGGGTAAGGAAGACCACAGCACTAGGTTACTTAAAATTTAACTCTTAGTCTCAAAGAAGCCCTGAGAATAAGGGTTTAAATGTAGAGTGAATCACCATCCATCTCTCTCTCTCACACACACACACACACAGACACACACACGTTCTTTACCTGTACTTCTGCCTTTGAGAGTAAAAGGAGAGGTGTTTGTCTTATAGTCTGAGGAGTCCCCCACCTGTTCATTTCCAACAACTGTATGGGTTTTGGTAGTCACATTATCCACCATTGCCAGCTTGTCTGGGCCCCAAGGACACAGGCCCAGGCCCCTGCATACTGTGCTTCTCTGCGGGGACGTGCATGGGGTTGTTAGGGTCAGCTCCCATACCTCAAAGGCTGGAGAACAGAATACTGAGAGAGAAGGGAGGCAGGGCCTGCAGTCCTGCAGTTTAATAACAAAATGCAGAAGGAGACTCTCTCTCTGTCCTGTTGTCTTGATTTATAAGACCTTGAGAATTATTCTTTAAGCAAATACAATTCAACCTGGTTGTGGGATTGCCCACTGAGGAATACATGCTGTCAGCCGTGAATGCTGTCGCAAAGACTTTGTGATTTGCACTAATTTGAGTATTGTTACATAAGCTCTCTCTCCTCCTCCCCCTGCCCTTCTTTGTCTCTTTTTTTAAGCAATCCGTTCGCTTGATATCACTGTGCCAAAGATTATCCAGGTCATTCTTGTCCAGAAGTAACATGAGTGTTGCCAGAAGCGATGATACTCTGGTAAGCAAACCTGTTTGCCTTGCTGAGGTTCTTTCTCAGCACTGTGTATTTAGAATGCTTCAGTTGTTCGATTTGTTCAGCAACCCAGAAAACCTGAAGGCCTGGGAAACGCGGTGGGGCTTGCTGGTGGAGTTCGTGGGAGACCAGAAGGCTGAACCCACTTGCTTTGTCAACTTTGTGTAGACTGCCCAAGGTCCTTGAGAACAACTCCATGATTTTTTTTTTCCTTAATCCAAACTGAAACCTAATTGCAAAGGAACTCTTCAGATACGACTGGGCATATCTGAATTCACAAGACTTGCTCCTGACAGTCAGACAACAGGGCTTTGTGAACCCTGGAGGTAAGGGGACTCCAGAAAAGGCAGAAAGGGTGGTTCTGTGGGGACCAGCCTGCTCCCAGAACCGAAGCTGAAAGTCAGCTGTCCTGAGTGGTCTCCGGGGACTCCAGGGGCAGGATCACAGGTCAGCAGACACCAGGTCTTTTTTTTTTTTTAATTTTTTAATTTTTTTTTATTTATTTATTTTTCCCCCAAAGCCCCAGTAGACAGTTGTATGTCATAGCTGCACATCCTTCTAGTTGCTGTATGTGGGACGCGGCCTCAGCATGGCCAGAGAAGCGGTGCGTCGGTGCGCGCCCGGGATCCGAACCCAGGCCGCCAGCAGTGGAGTGCACGCACTTAACTGCTAAGCCACGGGGCCGGCCCCACCACTTCTTTTTTCCTCCCCGAAGCTGGGAGTTTCACTGAGTCTCCAGGTCTAGGCTTGTAGAGTAAAAAGAGATAGGAAGTGTTAAAAAGAAGTGGGAGAGATGCAAGGTAGGAAGAGAAGGGGGAAGAAGACGAGGAAGGCTGGGTTTGGGAATTATTCATTTGAGGGCAGCAGTGGGACCAGGGACAAGATAAAAATTATTAATCTAAGTAAAATAATGGGAATGATTAAATATTGTAAATTAAAATCATCCTGAATAATCAGATGGGAGAAAGTATATGGGTCACAATGAAAAGTTCAGGGTAGGAGAGGGACCCAGAGTTGTGTAGGAGGTCCAGGTGGGAATACCCCCTCCCAGACCTCAGGTTCCCTCACCATCTCAGATCAGTATCCTGCTCGTCATGAGGACACTTGATAACATTTCTGTTGAGTGTCACTTTCATGCAAACGTCTCCTTGTCATCCACTTGGATTGTGATACAAAAGCAAAACCAATGGCATTCTGACACATGTACTCGATACAAATATTATTAAAACCCTCATGAAGCTGGCTTGGGTTCAGATCTGTAGAGAAGAGGAAGCAGAGCTCAGAGAGTTGCCTGCTGCACTCCATGCCCACAGCCGGAGATCCAGCCTCCGTAGATGCACGTGTCCAGGTGTGAAACTTGAGTAGCCGCACTTCTCTAAGTCCAGAAATTTTGTTTGGGATCTCTTAGCTTATTCTTCCGTTTCAATGTACCGTATTTTGCAAATATCTTATTATAAGAAAACTTTGACAAAGTAGCAAAGATTTAACAAACTTGTTCAACATTCTCTAGTTATTTTCCCTTTGTAATTAGAAATGCATCTGTTTTCTTTCTTCTGGCCTTTCTCCCCTTTAAAGGCCAATGATCTTTTAATAATTGTGACCAGCTTTCAGAGAATTTTTCCATGTTATTCTATACCTAGAGAAGGAAGATTTCCAGTGATCAAAAAATGACAGTTCTGTAATTGACAAAACTACAAATTAAGACTATCTTTTTCAAAGGTATCGTTTCCTTGGTTTTATGGTTTTTAGAGTCTGAGTTACACCTGAAATTTTCCACAGTCGTTTCTGGGACTACATTTTGAAAGATTCCTAAGATAAGCGCTAAGGGTAGTTTGACATCAATCATTGTTCTAACTCTGAGTCTTGAAAGCTGTTTGCTCTCTGGGTTATAATGCAGGCGACATTAAGGCACAGGTAAATAGTAGATGGTGTTAGTTTCCAGCATGGAAGGGGCAAAACTAACCTCCTACTTCCCTTCATCACCATGTGGATTTGGGGATTAAATGGCTTGCTTTGCTCTGAATGCTCCTCTTAACAAATGAGCATTGATTTCTCTTATGTTGATAAGAGGAACGTGGCCAGCACGCTAACTCTTTTTCCCTCTTCGCTGTGTCTCTCAAGGATGAGGAGGACTCCTTTGTGATGAAAGCCATCATCCATGCCATCAACGATGACAACGTCCCAGGCCTGCAGCACCTCCTGGGCTCGTTGTCCAGCTACGATGTTAACCAGCCCAACAAGGTCAGATACTCTTCTGCCAGCGGTAGTGGAGGGGGGTGGTCAGGGAGGCTGTGCACCTGCAAGTTCAAAGTGGAAAGACCCCATCTGCTTCTTCATTCTCCCTTCCTGTTGCAAACTGCATATTGTGGAAAAAATCACTTCTGTTTAGAGAGTGGATTGAGTTAGAAATCAGGTCTTACTGCATCGAGAGCCTTTCTGCGTGCACCGATTGCACCTTTACTCATGAAATTTTAAATGTACTCATCCTGCAAATGAAAATATCACCTTTGATTGTGAATCCCAAAGCGGAAGGGCAGTTCTGGTCTTCTTACTGTCGCCCACTCTTGTTCCACAGCAGTAGGCGTAGGCCTGCCGGGCCCCAGGGAGGTGCATGGGACAGCGGTGACAATTGGGATTTTTCTTTCCTACCAATCCTGAAAAATAGTATTTTTTCTCTCCTGTTCTAGCATGGGACACCTCCGTTACTCATTGCTGCTGGCTGTGGGAATATTCAAATACTACAGTTGCTCATTAAAAGAGGCTCAAGAATTGATGTCCAGGATAAGGTCATAATTCTATTTTATTGTAAATGAATTAATTTTTTAAGTATTTCCAAATGTCTCCTAATCACAGAAGCAACAGAGAAAAATAACATGTATGCCCTACTTCGTTCCTCAGTTTCCTATAAAGGAACATGAACTGCTAAGATAGCCCAGTCTAATGTACGTTATAGAGAAAGAGGCAAACATCTGTCTTCCTCTGGGCTCTGGGGCTCGACATCAGCCTTTCTTTGTAAAACACCCCGGATTTACTCCTTACTGATCACGTTACTCCACGGTGTTATTAGATGTCACATTTGGAAAAGTTTTTATTGTCTAATTAATCTCATCAGAAAGGTATTTGCCTGCATGTTTATCAGGGCAACAGAGTGAGGAGGATACAGTCATTTCAGTGGATCTGTCGTCAGCCTCCATAGCCTTTCCACAGAGCTGTGAATGACAAAACTGGCCCTTGACAATAGAGGGGATTCTAACCAGAGGTTGAAAGGAGAGTTTTAAGAAAAGAAAAACAACTTTTTATATTGAAGTAATTCTAGATTTACCCAAAAAAATCTGCAAAGATAGTGCAGAGAGGTCCCCATCCGCCTCACCCAGCTTCCTAGAATGGTAATGTCTTACATGGCCTCAGCCCCTTTGTCAAAACTTAAAAATGAAATGGGAAGTCTGTTCCTCTTGGAAGTTGCTCCTTTGGAGTTGGCGGTCTCCTGGGAAGGGAAATAGAGTGAGTCTGAGTGATGGTGCACTCAGATCCATCAGCTCTCTGGAAATGTGACTCCACGTTGGTTTTTATACAGGGTGGATCCAATGCCATCTACTGGGCCTCTCGGCATGGCCACGTAGATACCTTGAAGTTTCTCAGTGAGAACAAATGCCCTTTGGATGTTAAAGACAAGGTAAGCCACTTCTCTTCTTGGGGACAGGAAGAAGTAGCAAAAGGGTGCATTTGAGCTTTGGCGTGCTGTGTGCCAGGACCCAAACGATGCGATTCAGGACCACAGTCTCCCTGCAGAGGATTTAACTCAGAGCTTTGTTTTTGCTGTTGGCTTCGTCTAATATTAGAATTCGCCTCGAGCTGAAATCCGCCAGGTAGTTGCCATAATATGCAAGCAGTGAATTACCTTCCCTATAGCGTGAAAACTCCGAGTTCCGCTAGAAAGACAACCGGCAAGAGCTCTGAGTCCTGATCCTCTTGTTGGCTCGCCATGTGCTGTTAGGAACATCTCTTGACCATTGTCTTCACCTTTGAAGTGGCTGACAATGCTGATGCTAGAAGGATTAATGAGACAGTGTACTTAAAGTAAGGCTTTTTGGGCAAAGATGTTATAAAAATTATTGATTTAGCAAGATACCTTACTTTCATATATACATGTTTCATTCAGTCTACACAACAGTCCTGTGAGTTGTCAGGGCTGGAACCGGCCCCTAGGATTCCTACCTTTCATCCATTATGTATTCTACCATACAACCCTTCTCTCCTTCTCATACTTGGAGACTAATGTGTCATGTGCAGTCAGGGCTGCCACATACAGTTGCATGGATTGTGTACTGCACTGTGTCTACGAATGACATTCACATCAAAGACACATAGTTATTATGGCAGTTTTCTGTCAGGTGGCTATAAATTATCTTGTTTATTTTTTTACATCAGTTTATTCTGACAATTTTTGGCAAATATAAGTAAAATACCTTAAGGAAGTTGCACCTATTACTAATTCACAGAAGTTATTTTATGGGCTACTAGTGACATTTTTAAATGTCTCTGAGAACATAAGAAACAAGCTTCTATACATAGACAATGAAATCAGAAACTTGTTAATAAATAACTGCTGTGTGATGCACTTAATATTACAAAGGAATTTTGTGTTTTTAAAAAAAATCATATAGCTAAAAACATCAGTATATAAAGAAGATTGAGAACAACCATCACAGAGAAGGGACAGCATTCTCACTTGGGGGGTTTGATGACAAACAGGATGTGCCAGGTGTGTGGGTTTAACACTAGCTACATGATGGTCACTCCGCCCCCAGGTCCCTGGCAGAGTCACCAAAGGGGCATCTGGCCCGAGGGGGCGGGCACCCGCAAAGGGGAGGACGTGGAGCCAGGCGTGCCTGGGAGTGGGCCTCCAGTCCCGTGTGTTGTAATGCCCACAGCCTGCTCCCAGGGGGCGCTCTGACTCTCTGGCTGTTTCTTTTGCAGTCTGGAGAGACAGCCCTCCACGTGGCAGCGCGCTACGGCCACGCCGACGTGGTTCAGTTACTGTGCAGCTTCGGCTCTCACCCTGATTTCCAGGACAAGGTGAGTCGTGGGAGCTGACATCCTCCCTGCCTTCTGCTGTCTGCATGGACGTACAGGCAGCCAAATGATATGTCTCTGCTTAGATTACAGAGGGCAGGGACTCAAAGAGAAGCACTAACGCTCACTCATTCACTTAATCCTCCGGACAACCCTATGAGGTGAGGTACTCTTACTGTCATGCTACTGATGAGGAAACTGAGGCAGAGAGAGGCTCACACAACTCGCAAGCGGTGGAGCCAGATTCGAATCCACAGTCTGGTTCCAGAGTACATGCTCGTGACCCCTACACTATGACGGCCTCTCGCAGACGGTGTGTCTGATGATGTTGCTCATGAACGCATAGGCCTTCCAGTCCTACAGGCCTCGTGGCCGGCCCCTTCCCTGACATGTTACAGCATGGGTACCTCACTCACTCCCTTGCTACAGCCGCAGTACGTTTATGTGGCTCGTCTTTATGTCATATGAATGGCATAGAACATGAGGCAGCAAGGTTGTTGGAAGAATTTTCCTGCAGAGAAGTGCTCTCCTGCTGTTAGGAGTCTCAGATAAAGTAAATGAAGGCACTTGTACAGGAAAGATGCTACCAACCACCACGCTGGGGCTTCTTGTTCAGAAGAGCTGAGCTGATGGTTCCATGGGCTCCCTAAAGTCAGTTGTCAGTTAAATGCTGAGAAAGCCGAATTTGTCCACCACACAACTGTTGAGGAAAGCAAACTAATGAAGGAGAGACATCAGACCCATGCCCATTTTTGCTCCAGTAGCCATGAGCTCTTTCTCTCCGCTGCCTTGACTTTGCTGCCGAATTCAGCCGGGACTCTCACCAGGCCTCTCCTTTCTTTCAAATTATGACATTCTCCTCTGTGCACTTGTCTCCCTGCCAGGAGGAAGAAACCCCCCTGCACTGTGCCGCCTGGCATGGCTATTATTCTGTGGCCAAAGCCCTCTGTGAGGCTGGCTGTAACGTGAACATCAAGAACCGAGAAGGAGAGACGCCGCTCCTGACAGCCTCCGCCAGGGGCTACCACGACATCGTGGAGTGTCTGGCTGAACACGGAGCCGACCTAAATGCCTCTGACAAGGTGCTTTGTGGGTGAATGCATCACACTCGCTGAGAAGTGATCTGGGGGGCTGGAGGGACCACAAGACTCCTCAATTAGTTTACTTAAAATAACAAATTTGAATGCAGCAAATTGTAATTACCCTTTCTCTTCTCTGTTTCAAAGATTCTGTGAACTTTTCTAGATTCTGTTTATAGTTAATATTCATTTGTGGCATGTAACAAAATTTATGAATTGGTTGATTGCCTCTGGTCTCTATTTTATTTTTAGCCAAAGCTAAAGGCTTTGGAGCAGGTGCAGTGATGATCACTGAGCCCAAGGCCATCCTTGTATAAGACTAAAATTTTCAATACACTCTTAGTTTGTAGGTAAACAAAGAAATACGTGGTTTATTTACTTCATCACCTGCTATTTTGTAGAAAGACAATAAACCATTCTTATTTGTCTGGCAATCGCAATTCTAGAACAGGTGTTCCTTTTTTAGTTAAACAAATTCAGCGTAATCTGTTATTATCGTGAACTTGTGCTTAAAATGAGGCTGCGATGTTGCTATATATGGTTAGATTTAGGACATTGTAGTTAACTTGGTAGCTGCCATTTGTGGAGTATTTTCTTGGTACTGAGAAGTGGCTCTCACCTGGGGGCGACCTTGCCCCCAGGGGACATTTGGTAATAGCTGGAGACATTTTTTGCTTGTCGCACCAGGAGCGGGCGTTACTGCTGGCGTCTAATAGACAAAGGCCAGTGGTGCTGCTTACATGCCACATATTGCAGCTCGGAGGACAGGCCCCAGTGTCAGTCGTGCTGAGGTTGAGAAACCCTAGGACTGATAAGTTATAGAAATGTTTCCAGACTCTCTACCCAGCTCCTGAAACTCAGCACATCTATTCACCAGGGATTCTGTAATAGGGAAGGAGTGCCCAGGCTGGTCTTGAGCTGGATGCAGAGGTTAAGCATGTTATATATGCTTCTCATGTGTATGACAGCCCTTGAGCAAATGACTTCACCTTGCTTTCCCAGTTTCTCCTGGTGTAGTATAAATTAACAGGCTTTCCTCTTAGGAAAGATTGCTGAGCAAATGTTTTTAAAAATGTTTTTCAAATGCTCGATAAAACAGGCCATTGGAGTACCAACAGTTACTTTAGTCCTGTAAATTCAGAGACAAAAAGAATTGTCGAGTCTTTCTATCTGATTGTACTGGCCAAGCCTAGATTAATCAAGCTGGTGGTCTGCTTGGTCTGTGACTATTCAGAGTAGAAAGTAGGAAGCCTCTCTCCCACCCCCCGGGAGTCAGTTCGTGGTTTTTAATCCTCCTTCAGGCTTTGCAATAGTGATCCCATTGCCAATTAAACCTGGCCCGATGGCGGCTGGAAAGGCAAGTGGCCAGGCGCACGTGCTCGAGTGGGAGCGCTCACGGCCCCGGTGTGTGTTGCAGGATGGACACGTTGCTCTGCATCTTGCTGTAAGACGATGTCAGATGGAGGTCATCCAGACTCTCATCAGCCAGGGATGTCTCGTGGATTTCCAAGACAGGCACGGCAACACCCCCCTCCACGTGGCCTGCAAAGATGGCAACGTGCCGATTGTGGTGGCCCTCTGTGAAGCAAACTGCAGTCTGGATATCTCAAACAAGGTAAAGCTGGAGAAAAGAGTCCAGCAGTGTGTGTCCGTCGACCTGCTTCTGGGTTTCGGTCAAGGTTCTCTTTGCGTCTCTTCATTGTTCCAAGTCACTACTGCTTGTATAGACCTGTTCTTTTTTATAGAGCTCTCCATTTTAAGTACTATTTCACATATGACTTTTGAATAATTTCCTAGAATAACAGAAAATTATTACATTAACAAGCACTTCCTGCCTAGCCTGGCTTAGCACTTATGGACGTCTAGAGAGTGAGAGCAAGAGAGAGTGTGTCCTCCTGTAGAGGAATCAGAGAACATGGTACAAATTGGGGCATCTATCTGGAGCACTAAGTCTTCAGGAAAACACCTAACAGGCTATGATGTCATTGAGATTCCTGGGACCAGATTTCTCTTCTTAGCTTTCTCACACTGAGGGTTTTATGGCCAAAAGTCCATAACATCTTTTTTATGCTAAATAAATTTGGTAAGACAAGGGGATGCTATCATTTGATGAATAATAGAGAAACGAAAAGAAATAATTACATGCTCCTAGGTTGCTTTAAAAAAAATCTCATTATGTTGACTTCTAGAACACTTTCCATTTTCCCTTAGTACCATCTAGATTTTCAGTACCAAATGAGAGGGAACAGTTGGATATTCAAGTGGTTTTAGCCCTGTAACTGCATACAAGGCAAGCACTGTTCTGCTATGATTGTGTTTAAAACAAAGTCCAAGTAGAATTAAATTTTAATTGTGGGAAATGTTTGTTTATAAATGGCAGACGTGATGCCAACAGAATTTTATTATGATTTGTTTGAGATAAAAGAATTAATATCTGAAACAGCTGGAAAATTATACTTCTACAAAACAATTATTCCTCTTGAATATTATGTGATTAATTCTAATGGAAATTGAAATGGGTAATCTTCACATTCTGGAAATATGAAAAGGCGATATCCTAGGTCTTAGCCATTAGCTGCTGGTTGCTTTCTTAGTTTATCCCATTCTAATCTTGCCAAGTCAGTTACGTAAGTGGCTTAAGGGGAGAGCTAAATGTAATATTAAGCAGCGTCAAGACCTTGGCTTTCCTTCGAGGAGTCTTTACATGAATACAAAGCGGCTTCAAGGAACATCGTGGCCCTCATTTGAATTCCTTTAGACCTGGCCACTGTACGCACAGCTGAGCTACTCTGTGCGCAGCATCTGGGGTGAGCTGTCTCCTGTGAAGGCGGAAGAGTGGAGCGCCTCGTGCTGCTGGCGCTGATGTGAAGAAGGGAGCGGGTGTTCACCTCACACCTGAGTGCAAAATGTGCGCTTGTTAAATATGCTCTGTAAATACCCACTAGAGAATCCTAGACCTCATGTTAAAAACCACTGGCTTAGTAGTGGGAAAGCTCTCCATCCGATACTGTGGATGGCCACGGCAGTTCATGCATACCCACATGAACTTGTGTTTTTACCGCATACGGCCCAGCAGCGGCACGTAGAGGCGTTCAGTAGAGGATTCGGTCATTGAATTGAGCTCAGCTGAAGCAAAACTCATTAGTTCCGCAATTGCAACCTCTTGGAGTCAGTGACCAAGTTCAGACCATTACTCAGAACCCGCCGGAGCAGCAGCGGGCTGATGGTAGGCAGCCCTGTGTTGTTGTGTCTGCCCGCGGCTCCCTGGCTTGCTGGCTGCGCACGGAGGCCCAGCACACCGCCGCCTTCTGGGTCTTGCACCCTCTTCAGGAGGGTTAGTGTCAGCTTTGTTGTTTTATTCCTTTTTTTGTTTTTTTATTTTAGGAAAGATGATGGGGGCTCTAGAGGAGCTTAAAAGATGTGCAAAAAGAGTAAGAGGAAGGCATTATTTCCCCCGAAAGCACATCGGCTGTATGGTCCCATGCTAGTAACCGGCTGTCAGTGTGACATGGCACAGTGACAACCCATGTCCCATAGGCAGACTGTCACTCTTTTCCCATGTGTGTCCTGCCTTTTCCTTAGCTGGATTCAGTTCCCCCAGAGAGGAATATGTCCATTCAGATCCTACCCCTGTCATCAGTATGTGACAGGAACTTGTCACTCTGACGCTCATTGCAGGGAAACAGACATTTCCCAGTCTTCATTCTGCTCACAGGAAAATCTGGAGAGTGGCTATTTAACTTGATGCATTAGAGAAGACACGAGAGGGGAGGAAATAGAGGGCTCAGAGCACACGGCCCTTAACCCTCTGTGTACACGCACGTACACACACGCACACACACACCCGGGAGCATGAGAGAGAAGGCCGTGGCCATCAGTGTTTCTCGACGCCCTTCTCTGACAGCACGGTGCCACGCCGGGAGAGGGAGCTTGTAGATAGCAGAATGCATAGTTCTTGCCCTCAGGCTGCGTTTAGACAGACACACAGACGTCTCAATATATAGCATCTCCTGTGGCAGTCACTGCATGACAGAGGCCCGGGTCTGAGGAAACACAGACATGTGGACATTAAAGAGACCGGAGAGGGCCGGCCCCGTGGCTTAGCGGTTAAGTGCTCGCCCTCCGCTACTGGCGGCCCGGGTTTGGATCCTGGCGCGCACCAACGCACCACTCTCCGGCCATGCTGAGGCCGCGTCCCACATACAGCAACTGGAAGGATGTGCAACTATGACATACGACTATCTACTGGGGCTTTGGGGGAAAAAAAAGGAGGAGGATTGGCAACAGATGTTAGCTCAGGGCCCGTCTTCCTCAGCAAAAAGAGGAGGATTAGCGTGGATGTTAGCTCAGGGCTGGTCTTCCTCACAAAAAAAAAAAAAAAATAGACCGGAGAAAGCTTTTCTGAGGTGATCATTTACAGCGGGTGGGACTCGCACAGATGAAGAGGGGGGGGAAAGCATGTTGCACACCGAGGGAGGCGGACGTGTGTGTTTGGCGGCTGTCTGGACACGTCTGTAGCTGATGTGGTGTAGGTTTTTAGGGAGGGAGAGACTGAGGGTGAGAGAGAAGATGCCCCTGGAGAGGGACGTCGGGTCCAGACGGTGAAAGACCCTGAATCTAATGCTCAGGAGTTTGGGGTTTGTTCTGTCAAAATGGGGGCCTTCAAAAGTGTAAAATTCCTGGTCCCCTTTCTTCAGCACACTTCTCCTCGTCCTCTTCCTTCCAATGGAACTATACGTCCTATAACCAAGGTTATCTGCCTTACACATGAACCCAAACATTTCCTCCAAATCTTCCACACCTCTTTGCCGTCTCACTTTAACTCGAGGATATTTGAAATCTTAATATCTGCTTTCCAAATCACTCTAGAAGATAACAGTAAATGAAACATAAATATATATACACATTGCAGCACTATTTATAATAGCAAGGAATTGGAACCATCTTAAGTATCCATCCTAAGCAGGCTGGCTAAGTGAATTATGACACATCCATATATTGAATATTATTTAGGTATCCAAAAGAATGTAGTAGGTTTAGTAACAGACATGGGAAAGTATTTGCAATCTATTGTTAGGTGAATGAAGCAAGTGACAGAACGGAATGTGGAGTATGATCATTTCTTGGCTTTTCAAATTTTTTGTCTCCTTTTACGGATTCATAGATAAAAGCTTGGAAGGACATGCACTGCAGAGTTAAGTAGGGCTGGCTCTGAGCAGGGGATCTTGCGGAGAGGGGTAGAGGATGGGAGGACGACTTCCATTTTCTACCAGGTATCCGCCTGTGTTGTTTAGATGTTCTAACTGAGCGTGTGTTAACTTCATAACAGAAACCTTTATTTGCAGATAAACAGCATAAATCAGAGGTACCCAGACTTTCTCAGGTCACAATGTCCATGGTGTCTCAGTGATATTTTTTCATGGTTCCCGTAGAGCAAAAGAAATACGTAACAGTTCTGTTTATTAAGTAGCTTGGTCCAAACAACTTAGTAAGTATTTATGTGATAACAACTTAGTAGCTATTGGAATAAATGATCCACATAAATTGAAAGAAAACTAATATTTTTATTTCATTCTTACATAACCACAATTGCATACTAATGGGATGTGTGTGCTTATTGGGCACCTCACAGCTCCTCAAATTTTGACTCAGATTGGATACTACCACGCTCGTTGCCCGTTCCACATTGATTTTCTTAAGATACTTCTTATTACAGCAACCAACAACCCCCTGCTGTGTCGACATGATGCCATTGAAAGAAAGGCAGTGCAGTCTAATGTTGAGACTCTGAACTACCTGGAGCTAGTAGTTCACCTGGTGTCTGAGCCTGTTGGTTCCATCAAAACTTTAAAATATTCCTCAGCACCCCATGAATTCATTGCAGTGCCCTGAGGTGCCTTGGCACACAGTTTGGGAACCACAGGCGTGAAAAATTTTGGGCATGGCCTTGGAATCTTATCTCATTAGAGTGACTTCAGTGGCGGTCCTTCCATCCCTTCTTCCCTTGCTGTGTCTAAATGTGAACCGTGGCGCAGATCTTTCTGGAAGTTTGAGGCCCTCGGGCCCTGACTCATGCCTCCTTTCTACCAGTGCAGCAGGAGACTTAATTTAGTTATGTTATGATAAACCTCCCACTCTTTCATCCTTTGAAGTTTTATTTTGAAGTGACTCTTTTTAACTGAAGAATACTTGAAAACACTCTGCTTGGCTTGCCGCCCTCAGGAGGTGGCAAGTTTCTGGAGAAGGGAGACCGCACCTCCTGTTTCTCTCTGGTGGATCCCAGATCCCTTACACAGTGCTGGCCCATGGGATGGACTCCATAACTGTCATCCCCAGCAGCAGTCATGAGAAGGACTCTCTTGGGTCTTTTTTGTCTCTTCCAGTATGGACGAACACCTCTACACCTGGCAGCCAACAATGGGATTCTGGACGTGGTCCGCTACCTCTGTCTGACAGGCGCCAACGTGGAGGCGCTGACCTCGGTGAGTAGGCTTCTGGCAGGAGAAAGCAACTGAAAACCTTTCAGGCCTCAAGGACACGAGGGGGAAGGAACTTCTTGGCAACTGCATCCTAAAGCAGACAAGCTGCTATTAAGCTTCAACTCCTCCACTGCAGTTATGTAAACATTTGCCCACTCAAACCCAGGGCCATCTCCAGTTAATGCTTCATCCTCTTCTCATTTCAGCAGGCCGCACTGCCGGGAAGGCCTGCCTTTTCCACTGGCTTCTTGTTGCCCATGTTACACAAGTGCCTTTGCATGTTTTGTTGCATGTGTGTGTTTTCCTTTCCTAAATGCTCCCCCTCCACTGCAGGGCACTGGAGGGGCCGTGGGCTTTCGTGGAGGAAGGAGGAAGGGGCCCTGGGTGTGTGGGGAACAGTTGCCACCTCTACCCTGTGAGGCCAGGCTGCCATGCCACCGCTAGGCAAAGAGCTGTTCTCTCTTGTTTAAAAAGTCTAGCTTTAGGGGCAAGCTGCGGCGGCCCGGGGATCGCCGGTTCGGATCCCAGGTGCGCACAGATGCACTGCTTGGCAAGCCATGCTGTGGTGGCGTCCCATATAAAGTGGAGGAAGATGGGCACAGATGTTAGCCCAGGGCCAGTCTTCCTCAGCAAAAAAAGGGGAGGATTGGCAGGAGGATTGGCAGATGTTAGCACAGGGCTGATCTCCCCCCAAAAAAAAAAAAAAAAAAAAAAAAAGTCTAGCTTTGTCCTGAGGCCTGCAAAATATTTTTAAATGAGATTTCTTCAGTTCCCCTCGCTCCCCACTCCCCATTCCAGACCTGGTATCTCCCTGCAGAAGAAACCCTTTGATTCACATTTTATGAAGTACCAAAGAGGAAGAACATGTCAGCTAGTGAGATGAGGTTGCCGTTTTACCCCTGCAGTGAGATACTATCATTTGACTTGTTTCTGGCCCAATGGTGGGTTGACTCTCCATTATCTCATGGGGAGAGTCCTGAAAGTCACTAGCGCTTTGCTGACACACAGTGTTTCTCTAAGGAGATTCAGTGGAGTTTTAAAATATGGCGGCCAACCTTGTGGAGATGGGGCCCCTGAGGCTGGAAGGAGAGCCTCATTTCTTGAGAGTCATAGAGGGATTGGCAAGCTATGGGTCCTCAGGCCAAATCCAGCCTGCCGCATGCTTGTGTACATAAAGGTTTATTGAGACGGAACCGTGCTCACATTTACGTATTATCTATGGCTGCTTTCACGCTACAAAGGCACAGTTGAGCAGTTGTAACAGAGACCCTATGGCCCACAGAGCCCAAAATATCTACTGTCTGTTCCTTTGCAGAAAGTGTTTGCCAACCCCTGGTCCAGGACGTGGCCTCCCTGACTGCACTAGTGTCACCTTGACGGCATTCTCTCCCCACAAGTAGTGGGTCTGCTCTCTGCGGAGTGCAGGCCCAGGGATTACCAGTGTTTTCACGGGACTGTCGCCTTCTCAGAGCACCTCCTCGCCCATCACAGACCCACACACGCCACGCGTGGACCTCTGGGCCTGATGAGTTATTACCAAAACCTGCCCAACCGTGTCTTGGTTCACGGTTCAGTTACTCCACGACAGGGCATTTATATGCATTTTTATGAGGAAAGTATTTTTTTGTCACAGATATTGCTTCAAAAAAAACAAACTGTCGAGGATGGCTTTGAAGATGCCAGCAGCTGGCTTCTGCCAAACCTGGCAGTCAGGTTGGGGCCACTAAAATGGTTGGCCTCTGGCCTCAGCGGAGTCCTTGGGGCTGCCCCACGACCTCTGTGGGCCCCCCGGGTCATGCCCCTCTGTCCTTCCCCACACCAGCTGTTTTCTTGCCCTCAGTGTATCTCCTTGCTCTCGCACCCTTCCCCGCTCATTACAGACGCCTCCCCTGGTCGTGACTGTGCCTCCCTAGTACCTGCAAGTGGACTTCATGGAGCCTCGCTCATTTCTTCACTCATTTATTCATTCTGCAAATACTGAGCACCAGGCACTGCTCAGGCCAGGGAACACAGTGAGGCCAAGACAGGTGGCTCCCCTCCCTCAGGAAGCCTCCAGTCTGACGAGAGAGTCAGACCCAAGAGTCACCACGTGAACACACAGTTACTGGAGTGCGAGTTAAGCACCAGGCCCTGAGGGAGTTGCGGGGGGACGGGAGCGCCCCTCAGAGAGAGGGTGCAGAGCACCACGTGCCAAGGCTGAGCTTGGAGGCCACAGGGCCTTTGCGGAACCAGAGGCCAGTGGGCCAGAGCTGGCGTGGCGAGGCCGGGGCACGGTGGAGGAGCCTTGGGCTGGACTGCACATGGCCGCCCCGCAGGCGTGTGGACACTGAGGGCTCAGAGCAGGGCCGGCCGGCACAGGCTCACGCAGGGAGCAGGCGGTCATCGTGCCACCGTGCTCCTGCTAGGGACATCTCCAGGAGAATGATGATGCGTGCTACCTGTGTCGTTCTGAATTTTCTAGAAGCCACATCCAAAAAGGAAAGGAAACTGAGGATATTAATTTCACTAATATATTTCATTTAGCAGAAAATATGCAAAATATCCTTTCAACAGTTCCATCCCACCACATTTATTGTTCTGGAAAAGCCCATCTATAATGTGCTCCAATTTCAAATCATCCTGGGGCTTCGTTGCCTGCAGGATGTGTCTGCCATGGCCTGGCCGCTGCCCACCGCCAGCCTCACCCTTCACCGTGCACTCCCTTAGCTGTACCGAATGAACGGGACTATTTGCACATCCTGGTTTGCCCCTCGCTCACTGCCCCTCATCGAGTTGGCATAGGCTGTTCTTTCCTCTGGGATCTGCTGTTTCCACCTTCTTCCCCTACACACAGCATGTGCACACACACCCCCGCCTTCATGGTGAGAGACTTGTAATGCCTGAGAGCAGGTGCCAGGCACATAGCACCTGCGCACACGTGCACACACACCCGCCTTCATAGTGAGAGACTCAACGCCAGAGAGCAGGCTCCAGGCACACAGCACCTGCGCACACGTG